ACCATTGGAATGCAGTGGTGTACTTGTGTGTAGTGTTTGCATTTTAATGCTGGGATGTGTGATTGTTTGTAGTGTTGGCTTTTAAATGCAGGTGTACTTTTGTGTGTAGAGTTGGTGTTTGTATATAATTTTAGCGTTTTAATACAGGAATGTGTTTGCATGTAATGTTTATATTTACATGCAGGGGGGTGTTTGGATGTAGTGTTGTCTTTTAAATACATGTGTACATTTGTGTGTAGTATTAGTGTTTCAGCAAACTAGTGTGTTTGTAATGTTTGTGTTTGCAGGGGTCTGTTTGCATGTTGTGTGATTTCTATAACACATATACACATACACATTAACACGCAGATACACACATGCTCACACTGACACATGCTCACACCTTGACACATACTGGCACATACACATACACACACACTCAGATACACACCCTTTGACACACAGATACAAGCACTTTGATATACACACACTGGCACAGGTGTATACACACACACTCAGATACACACATACATAAAGGTATAAATGCAGGGGTGTATATGTGTACAGTGCTAGAGATGGAATGTAGGAGCGTATTTGTGTTGGCATTAAAATGCTGGGATGTATGCATTACCACACACTCTGATGCACACTTACACACACACACCGAAACACACACACAGGTGCACATACAGGTGTATGAGGTATACATACACACAGAAACACTGACACACAAACAAACACAGCCAGGTACACACAAGGACATAAACACAGCCAGATACACACACACATATATGTGTACATTTACATATTTTAATCTCTGCCTTCTAGCAGCTCTTGGACAGCAACTCCGAGCAACCTTGGCCATAATAATGTCTCAACTCTGTTCTTACATACCCTGTTCCAGAATTTGGCAAAAGTGACATTTGGAAATGGTATACAGCCTTTGATAACACTTGATGCAATAATATGTTAAAATAAATACTTTTAAAATTTATATTTAATAGGGAACTGTCAGGTTCTTCTAGGATTTTTAACATGTACTTATTCCCTGTGTGTTACATTACAAACACCAACACTTGAATAAAAGTGATATCAGAAATAAGCAAAACAAAAAAACAAAACATATTTAGCCACCCTCCTGTCTCCTTTCCTTTTGGGTACAGAAAGGTGGCTTCCCTGGGGTCCAGTGGGAGCTTGTTGGCCCAGGCTGATGGGAGTCTGCCATCAGCTTTCTCAGTCCCTCACCCCCACAATGCTTGCATCCTCCTCCATGTGGTGTGTGCCTCCTCCCCAGCGGCGCGGAGGAGGAAGCAATCTGACCTCACTGCCTCCCAGCATGCCCAGGAAACAAAGAGGCTCACAGAGCAGTATGTGAGGGGGCTAGCTGTGAGTATGTAGTCAGCCACCCCCCATATAACAGGGACCCGGGCCGGTCCAGAGCAGTATTAAAGGGCTGTGGCCCCTGATTACCTCAGGTGCCGCAGGGGGCCCATGGGGCAGCTGCCTTAGGGCCCCCAGGAGTAACTGGGCCCGGGGCAGCTGCCCCTTTTGCCCCTCCTTAAAGACGGCCCTGATTAAAAATCCAAGCAGACAGATGGTTCTGTCACACTCATTAAAACCAGTTGACTCCCCAAACTATGTGTCGTCTAGTTACTGGGAGGGGAAGGGCTATAATCACTGCTCAGCACCTTGTTCCAGCTTGTGTAGGATTGAACAGGGAAAGTCCTTTTATGGACTACAGATCCCAGTACTGTGTGTTGTCCAGTCCCTGAGAGGAAATAGAGGTAGTCCCCTATCTTGCTCCAGAACAGAGAGGCTCCAGGAGGACCCCAGTCAAGCCTCGGCGACTAGAGCAGAAGCGCTGCGTTTTTTCCCCTGTTCCAGCTAGGAAGCGGTCCTTGGTGGAGGTACCCAGCCAGGGTACAGGGAATCCATATTATTTTTTTTAATTGGTGAGCTGTAGATAAAGGGCAGGGTTGGATGGAGAGGGAGAGGTGACTCTTCAGTACCACTGTGTATTACAGAATAAGAAGCCAATGTTTGGCCAACTCTAATGGTTTATCTGAGTTAGATTAATATCACTAACAATGCAGGAGTAGAGTACTGGTTACACACACAGTATTTATAGAGATTAGTCCCATTTTAATGACAAACTCTAAGGCATTCTAAACTTTCATATTGTGTTGCTCGCTCACTATATGGAAGTATTGAACAGACTAAGTAAAGAATCAGGCAGCAGTTTTTTAGTCTGTCTAATATTCTAATCTACCTGTCCTCTGGGTCTCTTCTAAAATAAAACAAATCTAAGATATTTTATTTTTGAAGGTAACATTCCAATACCATGACCACTACAGACCTCTGTGATTGTTATTGTGGCAGGAGTGTACTGTGCCCTCCCCATTTAAGAATAGTGTGAAAACGTACCTGGGGATCTACAGGCCGGACCCGCACTGCACTGAGCTAACCTTGCAGCACTTAGTTGATGCTCCAGTCAATGGCCTGTCCCTGAACAGCGCACCCCAGGTAAGTTGGCAAAGCATTCCTTAACAGATTGGTTACTTAGAATGCTAAAGCACCAGGGCATTCCTAGAACCGTAACCACTACAGTGTTTAGTATTTTCCTTTAAATTCTCCAGAAAGCTTCAGGGGGAAGGGGAATGCTTTACACTTTCTGATTCTAAATAGCAGCTGAAAATGCTGTGTGTGTCTCTGACATATTGTCGTACCTTTAATCTTCATGGCATAAGTGACGGACCGATGTCACTAAGTACCATGCCCACTGCATATTTGTGTGTTTTCCCCTTGTATCGTGTGGTCCCTCTGTGTAAAGTATAGAAGGGTATTGCTGTCTGTATCTCTCCCACTTTCCCCTCCCTTTTCCTGTCACAGCAAGACGTTGCCACAGAGACACTGCCAGCCCAATGTAACCTAGATGCATTGTCCTTCCTCCCTCCCCCATTCAGCTTCTTGGGATTGAAACCTCTATTGGTTTTTGTGTTGGAGACCCCATGTAGGGGTCTGTGTCTGTAAAAACCATGTGTACAAAATAAACTAAGTCAGTCAGTGTTGTAACCTCCAGGACTGTGTTTTGTCCAGTTACTGGGGGGAAAATGGATGCTTGCATGTTATAAGGGTTCCTGAACAGCTGAAGGAAGGGTTACGCGTGTCCACTACAGCATACATATCCCTGCCCGTGCAACACTTGCTATTTGCTTCTGTTACCATTTTAATTCAGTCCCTTTAATAATATGGCAGGAAAAAACTGAGGGCAGAGAGAGACATCACTTTCCATTTATTAATTACACATGTTATAAACATTTTATAAACTATATATATTACACATGTTATAAACATGTTATAAACTGAGCAATATGTAAATTGATATGTTATCAATCAGAAAAATATGGAAAAAAATTTATTATTTGGCATGATGCTCAGAATCTTTGATGGGTACACCATTTATATAACACTGAAAATGGCAGGGCCTGACTATTGAACAGAGCAGATGCTAATCATCACAGCTCCTGCTAGTCATGATACGTAAATTGTGTTTTGCTCAAAAACCAGCTCAAACCTGACATAATTGGTCCACTCGGTGTGAAGTGACCACAGGAGACACACAATGACTTCAAACATGCAGATGACCCTGCAAGACTCACCCGAACGTTCATTGCGGCCTACAAGCATTGCTAGCGTGGGGGATGCGGCCAATCTTACGCCTCCACGTATAGCTGGAACCTCAAGCCTAGGACCTTATCCCCCTTATTGGACTGGTGGGTTTATCTTGGTTCCTGGTGTAAGGCCTAAAACCTCATGGCAGCAACACCAACAGAGTCTTTCGGCTCTTAAAATTGTTTAGTTTTGACAATACATCTTTTAAATATCATTTATCCCATTAATGTTGTATTATATATATTCACAATGCTTCTACAAACAAATTATTTAAATAAACGTTACCTCACTTAGCACTAGCACTATTTAATTTGTCTCCCATGTTGGAATTAGTGAAGGACCCACCGACAATGGGGTACTGTGATGTTATTAGTGTAGGGCCCCCCGGTATTGGGGTACTGTGATGTTATTAGTGTAGGGCCCACCGGTATTGGGGTACTGTGATGTTATTAGTGTAGGACCCCCCTGGTATTGGGGTACTGTGATGTTATTAGTGAAGGACCCAGCTTTATTGGGGTACTGTGATGTTATTAGTGTAGGACCCCCCTGCTATTGGGGTACTGTGATGTTATTAGTGTAGGGCCCCCCGGTATTGGGGTACTGTGATGTTATTAGTGTAGGACCCCCCTGGTATTGGGGTACTGTGATGTTATTAGTGAAGGACCCAGCGATATAGGGGTACTGTGATGTTATTAGTGTAGGACCCAGCTTTATTGGGGTACTGTGATGTTATTAGTGTAGGACCCCCCTGCTATTGGGGTACTGTGATGTTATTAGTGTAGGACCCCCTGGTATTGGGGTACTGTGATGTTATTAGTGTAGGACCCCCCTGGTATTGGTGTACTGTGATGTTATTAGTGAAGGACCCAGCGATATAGGGGTACTGTGATGTTATTAGTGTAGGACCCAGCGATATAGGGGTACTGTGATGTTATTAGTGTAGGACCCAGCTATATTGGGGTACTGTGATGTTATTAGTGTAGGACTCCCCTGCTATTGGGGTACTGTGATGTTATTAGTGTAGGACCCCCCGGTATTGGGGTACTGTGATGTTATTAGTGTAGGAGCCCGCCGGTATTGGGGTACTGTGATGTTATTAGTGTAGGACCCCCCGGTATTGGGGTACTGTGATGTTATTAGCGAAGGA